AAGCAGTTCTTTGTTTTGTACTTTAACCACTAGCTAGGTTTATTTAATGTATGTTTTCTTTTAGAAGCATAAACACTTCCTATTTACATTTTGAAGAAGTGCCTTAACACTTTAATTTTTTTTGTATTTATGCAACCTCCAAACTCAAATCAGGAGACAAGTGTCTGCTCATTATCTCCAGAGTCTGCAGCTAAAAACCCAGAACCAAGGACTTCAAGCCACTTTCCTCAGTGTAAGTATGCAAGCCAGCGTGACTCTTCAAGAACAATATTCAAGTGACTATGAGACTGTGGATTTGCTGAAGGAGACTGTGCTTACAAACACCAGCAGGAGATCTGGCTGTTTAACTGAAGCATAGAAACACAATGAAGTTACCATGAATTGATCAGTTACTGCAGCATAATGCAGTCCTCTACCTGACTGCATATGCAAGATAAAAAGGATAAGAATCCTGTTTCATGGAGGTCTATAAGCTTGTGCTGGCTGCAGAGTTGGTGCACGGGCAGTTACTGCCCCTTGCTGATCTTTACTGTGTTAAGCCGTGATCCATTTGTGGTCTGAATTTTGTAGCATTTTTACAGAAATATTTTTGCAGTCAACATACAGTACTACAGCTGTAGCTTAAAACACACGTGGTTTTGCTGATAAAATATGCAAGAACATGTCCCAGTGAACAGATGGCTAAGTTTTATTAAGGTAAGCGTCTCATTTATTATTGGCAAAAAGGTAATTTTTGAATAAGATTGTGATTAGGAATAAGATCCATCCTGTAGGGTGCTGAGTACCTTCACCTTCCCACCAGAGTGCGTGAGTCTGTCACAGATATTTACGCAATTGTGCCTGTTAAATGTGTCAGTGTGCTCAGGATACAGTTAGTGTTTGGCTGTTTGACTTTTGATCTCACAAGAGTATATGAGTGCGTAGCAATCACAGCCCAGAGCAGGAAGGTGACGGTTTCCAGCCCCCCGACTGATTGTGAACCATCGCCCAACAGATTCTGCATCAGCCAAGTGATGTGTGCGCAGAGCTTCTCTGCTGGGTGCCACTACTGGGAAGTCATTACCAAGGGCAGTGATGGATGGGCTGTTGGAGTTGCTCATGAAATGATTGCTAAAAGGGACAAATTAGGAAGGACAGAACATCCGTGGTATGTAGAATGGCTAGGTCCCAAAAAGCAGCTGTCAGCCTGGCATAGGGATCAAGAAACATTATTACACAAGGATACACCATTGAAGGTTGGAGTTTTCCTGAAGCTACAAAAGAAGACTGGGTCATTTTACTCCATCACTGACGAAGAAATGCTTTTGCATACTTTGGAAATTAATACCTCAAATCCTCTTTACCCTGCTTTCTGGCTATATAGTCTAGAAAGAACTGGATATTTAACTATGAGTCACATGAACAGGAGATAAAGCCCGTTCAGAAAAGTGACAATTTTGCCTGTAACTTCAGAGCTTCTCTACAAGTTTCAGTGTTTAGCACAGGCATTTACCAAGGAGGGTATTACTTCCCAGGCTTTCTTGGAACTCAGCAACTGATACTTTATCTGCTCTGCATTTCTTCATGCTGTGCCCTGATCTAGCCGTTCTTCATTAAAGCAATTCCAGTGTATGCTAAAGGCGGTAACCATCCCCGTGGGAGAGAGGTGGATTTCTTAAGCAGCTTTAAATAGTCCCAGGATATTCCTAGGAAGGAATGCACCAAGGAAGCTCTGAGGTTGGGGATAAGCCCTTCCCATGGATCTCATTTTCCTACATTGATTAAAAAAATTACAGGAGAACAGATGATGCCATCACATTCTGTCAAGTGAGCTTTCTTTAGAAAGATCTGAGTAAGAAATGCTGAGGGGGCAAGAATGTTACTGATCTCATACATGAAAATCTTTGTCTTCAGAGGGGTACTAAAATACAGGAAATAGGCTTTGTATTTGAGGACCTGACACTTCAGGGAGGTGTCCCAGAACATCTTCTCACTAGCGCTGTGTCTTGTTTTAGTCTTGCCCAGGGTAAGGGTTGTCAGCCTGGTGGTGGCATGACCACAGGAATAGTTTTGGAAGCAGATGTTTTCAAATGTGTTTGTACCAGCTGATACATCATGTGGTCACTTTATTGCTCTTTTAAAGAACCAGCAAACCGGACTGTGTCATGGAAAGGACCATCTTTTCTTGTCAGGGAGCCTGAGGAAATGAGAGGTCCTGAGTTTCCTTGCCAGCGTACAGGCCATGTTTCTGCCCTTGTTTGTCCCATCTTTCAAGCTGTAGGGAGGTCCCTGTTGCCTGTGTGGGGTGAAGGGGCCAGAGCTGAGATCCTGCAAAACCTACTGACAGCTGAATTTCTGAGAGCATCACTGCTTCATGCAGGTGAACTGAAAACACAGTTCCCAAAAAGCAAAAACTTTTCCAGGAAGACTGTAGTATTCCAGAATGAACAAAATAAGAAGTTTAATGTGAGTAAAGCATGTAGGATCCAACTAGCTCATTTAGCCAAATGGAGTTCCATGGCTTTTAAAGCCATTGACGGAACTGCTGGTAATTTTCAAGGTTACCCTCCTTTGCTGTCGCTGAACACTCTGAAAGCTCTTTGGACTAAACGCACGTTTGTAAGATCCCAGAGGTGTGTGTACCAGCTTCTGCAAGCCTGGGGGTAGCTCAGCGCAGTGCCTGGCTAATGGCGCTGCCTCGTTCGGCGGAGGCGTCCTTTCCTGGTCCGTCGGGAGAAAGGACACGACAGCACGATGAACTCGCTGGGCACCTCCAATTTCCCGCATACCAGTTGCGCCGTACTGCCCGGGAGCAGCAGTTTGTTATGGTTTGGATCGTAAATTACCCCACAATTTGAAAGGGAGCGCCTTGTCTCGCCTGGGCCGTGTTTCCATGCGCCGGACGCGCTCCCTCGGCTGGCGCACCGCTACCGCCCGCACCGTTTCATGACGGGACGTGAAATCTGCATCACGGCTCCTTCATGGCAGAAAACAGAGTCACCGTCCCCGGGTCGCCCGGAGCAGAACCCCCCTCGGGGGGCACAGCCGCACGCCGCGTTCCCCCG